CACGCACGCACGCACGCACGCACGCACGCACGCACACACACACACACACACACACTTCAAGCAGCGGTGAGGCGTCCTGGATTGCGTATGGGCCCACCAAACTTTGTTGTAGGACCCGTTTGTGGTCTGCAAGACATGTCCTTAGAACATTATGGCTGAGACCGTGCTGCTTTCACACACCCGCCTCGTGCTCTAAGGGCATCTCTTGTTCTCGGAACGCTCCTCGGTTCCAAGAACATGTCGTGGAGGAGGTGGAAGAGGACAAGGAGGAGAAGGAGGAGGAGGAGAAGGGGGGGGAGGAGGATATGGAGGAGAAGGAGGAGGAGGAAAAAGAAGATGAAGAGGAGTCTGCGTCTGTCTGTGAGCGGCTGTGGGACGAGAGATCAGAATGACTGCTCCACTGACTGGTTTCGCGCCTCTGGAAGCTCAAGCTGCACCTACACGAAGGACCGAGCAGGCCGAAGGAACCGACCGAAGGGGCCGAACAGAAGGAGGCCACGAGCGACGGGCAGGGGCCACGAAGGGCGAGGGGCGAGGAGGGGGGCGAAAAGGAGCAGGGGGCCATCCTAAGCGTGCGTCCGCCGTCCGCCCTTCGAGAGCGCGTCGCACTGCCAGGTGCGCGAGGCCGCGCTGCCGAAGCTCAATGGCTACGGCGCGGTGCCCGCGCCCTCCGAACCCGAACTCTCTAGAGCCAGGCCTCAAAAATGATTCCATCTTCATCCTCGGCCTCTGAATTTGTCTCTGGGGCGCCTGCGACACTCAGGCGTCCTTCAGCACATCGATCCAGGCCGAGATCTCGTCCTCGAGGTACCCACTCGGCGCTGCGCCCACCGTCGTCGCTACTCCCATCGAGCGCAACGCTTCCATCACCTGCATCTCGAGGTCCACGCGGTCCAGCGCGAACACCACCTTCAGCATGTCGGGCTGCTTGCAGCTCTCCAGGCGGCACAGGCGAACGTGGGCGGGAGGCGCCTCCTCCATCTCGGCCAGTAGTGCGACCAGGACGTCTTTGAGCCTCTTGCCGATCTCCTCGTTCGCCAGCGCCTCGATCATGGCGCAGAAGACCGCTGGCGCTGGAGGGCCCAAGCCGCGGAGTCCCTCCATCATCCTGTCGGCCTCCTGGTCGAACTGGCGGGCCGCTGCTCCGTCCGTGCCCTTCGCCGCCTTGGCCTGGTCCTTCAGCCTGCTGACCCACGCGCGCTTCCGGTTCGCCACCTGCGCGAAGTCCTGGCCCTCCTGCTGCATCGCCTTGATCACCGGCGACTTGTCCTCCAGGATCGCCGCGCGCGTGGCGATGCCCCACGTCGCCCGAGACCTCTGCGCCAGCTGCGACACCAGCATGGAGAGGTGCGGGAGGAGGTCCTTGAGGCCTGCGCCCTTCGTCGTGAGCTTGCGCTCCTTGCCCCCCGCGCGGCGCCGTCCGCCACGACGTGTCTTCGGCTTTACTGCGGCGCCCTCCAAGCCCGCATCGCCCCGCGCCAGCCTGGTGCCCTTGCTGTCCTTCTGGCTCTTGCGACTGTCGCTGTCGGCGGGCTTGGACTGCGCTCCACCAGTCCGCGAGCTGGCCGAGGAGGCCGCCACCTGCGGGCGCCAGCGGCCCTTCTTCTCGACCTCCATCACGAGCAGCTGCGCCACCTGCAGGAGCGGATGCAGCGCGGGCAGTCGCACCTCCAGCGGCAGCGGGGACGAACAGGCGGGCCGCTGTGCGCAAGTCAGAGCCCCGCAGGCGAGCCTCCCGCGGAGGCAGATCACGGCGTCTCGGCCTCGGGTCAAGTGGGGCTGGTCGAGGTTGCACAATCGAAATAGAACGGCCCTCCTGCGTCGGCGGCAGGTGTGAGCGGAGATGACTACGGAGCAGCTCGTACGAGAGGAACTCTGCGCCACACAGTGCACATCCACGAACGTTCGTATCTGTGAACTCGTAGGGGTACGCCGTGTTGTGCATGATACATCTGCCAGCGTGCCACGCGCGTGCAAGGTGCCGTACCGTCTCCGTTCTTGTCTGGAATATTGTGCCACATTTGATACATGCATTGCACGGTGTGAGAACGTGGAATATACTGTGCCCCCCATGACCAGGCTGTCGGGATTGACAAACATGTGCCACCAGTGCTGCGCGCGAACGGAACGAGCAATCACATATGGGGCCTTCGGGATCTCCTCGAATTTGACAAGTGAACTTCTGGGCCTCTGGGTCCTCCCAGCTGTTTTCATCATCCAGGGCTGCGGGTACCGATGCCACGGTCGCTCCAGGCGGTGCCCACTGCACAGCAGCAAAGGCGCTCCGCAAGCACCTTACGTCAAGGGAGACAAAGAAGCCGTTCACCTCCTCGTCCCACAGCAGGTCCCTCAGCGAGCGGCTCTCCCAGACCAGCGAAAAGTACTCCGCCCCTGGGCGGTCGCAGAGGGCCTCGAGATCGCGTCGCAGCCGACGCGCCCAAGGATGAATAACAGCATCAGAATTGAACTGCCCAGATTCCACTAGCGTCGGTGGGCATCTGCACTCACTAGTCAGCCCCCACTTCATTCCCCCGAAGAAGACGCCCAGGATGTGGCTATGTTGTCGAGGGCTGCGCGCAATAGCCTGCCACACGCGGAGGCGCTGGACCAGCGCCTCCAGGCTGAACGGGACCAGGCTCCAGAACCTGTAGACTTCTCTAGTAGTCATCACCTTCACGTGATCGTTATGCATGTGAGACGCCCCCCCCATCATCGACCTCAACTTGCGTGACAAAGAACTGCAAATTTGGCGAGCCTCCGAGTCGGCCCAGCAGTAGGCCGCGGTGCCCGACAAGGCCGCCCCCGACACCAGGCTGATGAACAGGAGGCGCTTGACGCGCTTGGGGGCGGAGGAGTACCAGAAGCCCTGCACCATCATCCAGCCCTTGTTGATCGCCGCCAGGCGCATGGCCAGCTCCGTCGCGTTGGAGTTCGCCGCGTTGAACCAGCCCCCCAGGTGCTTGAGCTCGTAGCCACTGCGGCACCCACTCCTGGCCAGGGCCTGGATGGCCTGGCGGACCAGCTGCCGCGAACCCAACGAGACAACTACGTCCTGCTTCGCTCGGTTCTGGCCGTACTGCCGCGCAGCAAGCGCAGCGTCGAGACCTGCATCGTTCCGCTGGGAGCACCGCGCAACCTGCTGGGCCGCGCGCGCGGTGGGCGGGACGAGCTGCGTTTTGAAGATGTCATCCATGAAGCACCCCAGGCTCGCGTCAATCGTGGGCAGGCGGTCATCGAAGTTGATCACGATCGCCTCGCCAGTGGCCGCCTGGTCCACGAGGGCCCGCTTCTGGACCGCGATGTGGCAGTTGCTCATGAAGAGTTCGGGCTCGGAGGCGTCGCCCATGAAGCCCCCGAACCGCTGGCGATCGCCACCTCGTGGTCCGAACCCGAGATGGCCACCGTCAGCGACTGGCGCCTGAGCCTGGAGATCGTCGTCACGTAGTCCACGTCATCCTCCTCGACCTCCTCGGCGGCCGTCTCCAGTCGGAGGCGGGCGCCATGCTCGATCTGGCCCTTGTCGCCGCAGCCGAAGGCATTGGTCGCATCGAAGCTCTTGTGCAGCATGGGTTGCCCAGCTTGGTGGCCCTTCCACGCCGCGACGCGGGCGGCCAGCATCAAGTGTTCGCGCTGACGGGCGCGACCCGCGAAGGCCCACTCGGGAGGGCGAAAGGCACCTCCTCGCAAGAGACCTCCACGAACGACTGCACGCCACCAGCTGCACATGCAGTGGACCAAGCGTCGGCCGCCTGGGCATGGCTTGCCATTCTTCTTGCCGGGGGCGAAGCCGAACGACATGGGCGCCTGCTGCGGCAGCTGCCGCACGCGGCGTGCGCGGAGGACGAGGCGGAACAAGCGACGGCGGGGCTCGCCGTACTGCTCAAGGTGGGGCAGCTGGTTCCGCGCGCACGGGTCGGGCCCCTGGGGGTTCTCCTCGAAGATGGCGGCTGGGCGGGGCCCCAGGCCCGCCGTTTGCTTCGCATAGTTGGCGGGGGCGCTGATCCATGCTGGGGCGACCGGCATCTTGAAAATCTCCGACGGGCAGGACCACGAAGGGGCAAACTTTCCAATCTTCGTGCGTCGCAGCGCCTTCAGGGTCATCCCGAGGTCCTGCTGCGCCTTCTTCAGCGTCGCCTGGGGCACCTCGTAGTTGTCAGGGTTAGCGTACTCGTCGGTATCCCTGAGCGCCTGGAAGTGGGCGTCGGTGAGGTTGTGGCAGACGGGGACAGAGACACAGGGCGGCCCGCGAGCCCTCCTGCCAGCGCAGGCTGGGCCAAGTACTCGATCCACTCGTCGCCCGTGGGGTTGCAGGACGCGTGCGCACGGTAGTTGCGGCTCTTGACCCCTTATGCCCGTGCGCGCCAACGTCCTCGCCAGCCGCGGGGCCGCGTGCATGTCGCGGGCCCGCCACGCCTGTCTGAGCTCTATCTCCTGGTGCAGCTGCCGCTCTCGGTTGCGCCGCCTGCGGAGCGAATGCAGGGCGCGCGTGTAGCTGCGGATGGCGTCGTCCAGGCTGCGCATCTCGGTCTGCATCGGGTCGCGCCGCGCCTGCTCGAGGTCAGCCGCCTTGGCCTGCTCCAGCAGGCCGCGCCTCCGCTTGAGGTACTCCCACTTCCGCTCCTCCAGCTCGTGCTCGTAGTCAGGACGCCTCTGTTGCTGAGAGAAGTGCTTCAGTGCAACCTGCCGCAGCGTGGCCATCGTGAGGGTGGTGTGGCCGTTCGCGGTCGGGCGGGACTCTAGGACGTCGAGGGACCTCTCCACTTCAAGTAGAGCATTGTGGGCCTCGACCAAGAACTCCTCGCGTCCTGCGCCCGTGAGGACCGCCCCCGCCAGGCTTTGCCGATCCCAGCGTTCTCTCAGCGGGCGGGGGTCCACGGGCGCCACTGCCAATAACTTCACCACGACTGGGACGTGGTCGAGGATGGTGTTCATCGCCCTGATGGACTCGCCCGTGCGCTTCCACGAACACGTCCACCTCACTAATTTGAGCGCTGACTGCGGGAGACACACGAAGTCTATCTGCGAGGACGACCCGCCCATGCCGAAGAACGTGTGGCCCGTGTCCCAATGCGTGTTGACTGCCGTCAGCTTCATCTGTGTGAGCAGCTCGTGGAACAACTGGCCACTGTAGGACTCTCGCTCGCTGCCGTAGGGGCCCGCGGCGTGGTCGTCATCTCCTCGGCGGCGCAGCCCAGAGTTGAGGTCCGTCAAGATCACAGGTGTGAAGCGGTAGGGCACCTGGAGGAGCTCGTCCCGAGCCCAGGCGGTGAGGCGCGAGCTCGTGGTCTTCCAGAGCTTGGCGTCCCCTGGGCGAGACGGTCGGGGCGGGTAGTAGAGGACGCAGAGGGCCAAGAGCAACGGGCCCGACTCCACGTAGACGATGCCCCCTCTGCCTCTGAGGCCGTCTGGCGGCGGGATGATCCTCCTGATGCTCGTCGCATGAAAGTACCGCTTCGACAGGAGGATCGTGCGCCCGCACGCCTTGTTCACCATGGCCGATCGAGTCCAGCCGAAGTGGATCACGTGGTGGCAAGGGGCCCCCGCTCGATGATGGGGTTCGCTGTGCCAGGCCCGAACGCAAGTGCCTGGCAAGCCCACGATCCCGATGCTCTTGAGCGCGGCCGAGACCGCGTCGACCCTCGCGGGCGAGACCAGGTTCTGCGGGTTGTAGGTGCCTATGAACGCCTCCCTGCCGCCAACCCCCGTCATGTGACCGCTGCCCAGCGCGGCGCCCAGCGCCGCGAGCCAGAGCACGAGGCGTGCGTGCCAGCCCCCAGCGAGGGGGGGCACCCTGGCCGTCATGGCTGCCCCACGGGCGCGGCTGCCCCCATCGCGGCAAGCGTTCCTGCTGAGGGGCTCCACAATCGGGGGGGCCTGCGCTGGGGCGGAGCCTGAGGAGAAGGAGGATGAAGAGGAGGAGGAGGAGGAGGAGGAGTGGGAGTGGGAGTGGGAGTGGGAGCGGGAGTGGGAGTGGGAGTGGGAGTAGGAGTAGGAGTATGAGTAGGAGTAGGAGTGAATAGGAGTAGGAGTAGGAGTAGGTGTCAAGCTAGCCAGCTCGAGCGAGTCAAGCATGGCATGCCCAGTCCCACCCGCCCTCCCACAACATAAGAAGCAAAGCTGGCACAACTGGGGGCCGAAGTCACACCGGCCAGCCGGTTTGGTACAGCTGATGTGGCCGCGATGGCGGTTGCCGACGGGAACTGGCGAGCGCGTGTTTGAATGCCGCGCACGCATTGCCAGACGAGTCGAGAATGGCCTGGTACACCGCAGGAAGCCAGAGGTGGCCGGAGGAAGCCCGACGGTCTGACAGGACACCCCAAAGCATTTTTGTGAAAAAAAGCATTGGGTTTTTGATGTGTTTATGTTGAAATGCTTGCAAACACACGGTGTTCGGTAGGATTCTGACATGAACGCGCGAGTGTGCTCTTTGTGGCATTTTTTGCATAGGATTCGCGGCCTGGGTCCATGACAGAGCATCGCGAGTGCACCGCGCGATGACGTGAAATCGCTGGATTTGACCGAATTCTTAAGATTCCCATGGTTTTCCTATGATTTCAGCAAGAGAGCCCGGGCGGGAAATTTGTACAATTTTTGTGAAAAAGCATTGGGTTTTTTGATGTTTTTATGTTGAAATGCTTGCAAACACACGGTGTTCGGTAGGATTCTGACATGAACGCGCGCGTGTGCTCTTTTTTCCCTTTTCTTTCTTTCTTCCATCTTGTGTGGGTATTTTTTTTGCTAAGGGAATTTATCGCCGTGGGACGACAGGACGTCCATGTTTCGAGAGGGAAAGGGAGAAAAAATAAGTGAAAAAACGTTGATTTGTATTGTTTTTTACAGGTTAGGATGGGACCACACGGGAATGCGAACCCGCTATTCTGCCGGCCTGAGGTGGCGTAGGAGTATATGCTAATAAGGAATAAGGAGAATAAGGCTAGGAGTAGGAGGCGAGGAGGAGGAGGGAGGAGGAGGAGGAGGAGGAGGAGGAGGATGAGTAGAAAAAGAAGAAGAAGAAGAAGAAGAAGAAGAAGAAGAAGAAGAAGGAGGAGGAGGAGGAGGAGGAGGAGGAGGAGGAGTAGGAGGGCCGTCAAGGGGGTGGCGGGCGGCGCCATCCTGCGCGTGGGGCCCGAGGACGGCGGCTCCCCGGCCGCAGCGAGCGCGGAGGCGCGCGAGGCGCTGGCCCTCGCGAGCGCGCTGGCTGCCCAGGCGGGGCTGGACGAAAGGGCTACTGCGGCTACTGGCCCAGACCCTCTCGAGTCCTCCTCCTCTTCCCCCTCCTCCCCCTCCTCCCCCGCCCCATCCTCCTCCTCCTCCTCCTCCTCGCCCTCCTCTTCCGTAGCCATTTTGGCTCAAGATGATGAGTTCCTCAGGGGAACACGCGGATACCGCTAGTCCGCGGCTGGCAAGACGTCCTGAGGTCTGGCATCTTCTTTGGGTCTCCACACCTGCGCTCGGGTCGGTGGGTAAACGGAGGCCTTTCCTGTTCCTGCCGGCCCGAGCGCATCCAGACTCAAAGCCATGGGCCCTGTGCGGGAGGACACGCAGGGTGGCGTCGGCTGTGATTCTGGCGCTGCTGGGCGTACTGGGGGCAGCAACAGATCCTCGAGTCGGAGCGATGCATCAGACGGCGGGCGGTCTGCCTCCCGCAGTGGAGAAGGTGCTCGTCGGCGCCGACGAAGACAGCATAGAGAACGTGATCGCGGGTGTGATTATCCACAAGAGCGGGATCCCTGGCGCCATGGTGGTGGACGTGGAGGCAGGAGCTGCACGGAGGGAGCGTACCCACCTGGAGCAGGCGCTGCTGCTCCTGTCGAGGCCGCGCCGTCGGGGGGAGGAGCCTCGGCACTGGCTTCTGCTGCAGGGCTGCCCGCCAGCGTCGCACTGGAGCTGGAGCGGATCCTGGCTGAGGCGACTGCCAACCTCCACGCAACGACGTCGGCGGCCCAGACCAAGATGGCCACGGTCGTTGCCGCCCACGCCCAGGAGTGCTCGGCACGGTTCGCGGTGGTCGATGCGGATGTCGCTCGCATGCGAGACTGGCAGCACAGGATCGAAGCGTCGAACGAGGAGCTGCGTGCAGCGGTCCAGAGCATCTCGGAGGCCCTGGAGCGCGCGGAGGCTCAGGTCCCTCTCTTTCAGGCTGCTAAGCAGGAGATGTGGGACAGACCCGCCGCGCCGAACATCTTCCAAATCCAGGTCGAGACGGGTGTCACGAGCGCGGAGATTATCTGCGGCCTCGAGGAATGGTTCAAGGCTGCCATGGTGTCGAGCGGTCAGTACTCGCTGCACTCCCTCCCGTCTGGGAAACACTTCGTGCTGGAGCTCACGGGCGGTGTGGTGGGCTACGAACGCGCCAAGAGGTTGGTCACGCACCTCCGCATGCCAGGTGGGTGGAGGAGCTTCACGGCAGGGGGCCACAAGATGTACATCAACGCGGACAAGTCCAAGCGGGCGTTGCGGGTGGAGCTCCACACCAAGCGCCTTGGCCAAGCTCTGGAGGAAGTGCGTGGAGGAGCTGGGCGCTGGTGGTCGAACAAAGCGAAGGGGGAGGTCAAGTTTGACAATGTGGAGGTGGCCAGTATCGTGGTCTCGGAAGAGGATGCCCCGACGGAGCTGCGATGGAACAACCCGATGGTGGCGAACCTGGGCATCGACAAAAGCAAGGTGCAGGAGGTGTTCAATCGCATGGTCGGCAGTGGCACCAGAGAGGTACAGTGGTGTCCCTAACAACACTCGCTCGGCGTGGAGGCGCCTGTGGCAGTACCATTACAAGGAGGTATTCAACAGCCCCCTGAAGGTCATATCGTGGGTTGCGCGTGGCTTGCTTCTACGGGATCCTCCTCGTAGGCGATGCAAGCTTGCAACTTTGTGGTCATATATGGCAAAGAAGTATTTAAGCATGCTGCAGGAGACGCATGACGCGGTGGGCTTCTTGGAGGCGCTCGTGCGCTCGCAGATGTACCCCTTCAAGCTCCACTTCTCTGCGATTCGCGAGGGATGTGGCGAAGGTGTGGCCATGCTGATCCCATCATTGGAGCAGTATGACGGGGAGGAGATGCAACCATCGTGGCACCCAGATCTGTCGACCGCGGAGCTGGGCCCTGAGCGAATATTAATGATGAAGGTCTGGGTGATGGCGTGGAAGCCTGGCTCGGTCACACACTTGCCTGCAGAGGCTGAAGGGGGTCGTGGCGGAGTCACTCTCATCAACGTGCACAACCATGATTGCAGCGGGGAGGACAAGTCGAGAGTGGCGGCAACCTGGCGGAGAGCAATGAGGGAGGTGCGCAGGTCCCTGTTGCAGGAGCGCTGCGATGTGGGCGGCGACTTCACCCACCCAGTGGAGGGTCGACGCTACTATCGCATGCCGACGGATTTGCCTCGTTGGCGGGGAGCTGACGGAGACGCTCAAGAGGAGTGGGCTGCTGCCAAGCGGCCCCTGGTCTCAGCGGCGAAGGCCACGAGGGGCCGCATGATTGCGCTCGCGGAACTGCAGAATGTCTCGCAGGGCGCGGAGCTCTTCGCCCTGGTGACGCGCTCGGTGGCCAAGACGGCCTGGTCGAACGACGGCACCACGGCGCCCTTGCTGATCAAGTTCTCTCCGTTGGCTCGGACGCACCTGCGCATTCAAAATGGCAAGGTGCTGGCGAACGGCACTCTGGTTTTCGGGGAAGTCGTATGCTCCACCATGGAACGTATGCTGGATGTGCGGCGTAAAGGCGCTGCGAGACGGATCCGTTGCGCCTGGGCGACGGTGCTGGCGCTGGAGGGCGAGTACTGGAAGCGGGAGCAGGGCAACATAGTGAAGAAGGCCCAGCTGTGGCTCCGCAAGCTGCCCGCCTGGCAGCTGAGCGGCGTCAAGGTGCAGGGTATGGAAGAGCTCCCTGCACCACCTGAGCTGGAGAGCGTCTCCGTGCGGTCATTCGATGTCGCGATGAAGAATGCTGACGCCAGGCTGGCTGCAGTGCGTGAGTACTGGGGCCACATCTTCAGGAAGAAAGATTTCGACGAGGGGGTGGTCAGGGAGTACATCGTGCGATGGCCAGCGCCCGCCAGCACGCGCGAGGACTTTGCTCACAGCAAGGAGGATCTACTACGGGCAGCTCAACGAGGTCGTGATGTGGCCCCTGGACATGACAGGCAGAAGCTGACGTGCCTGGAGCACAACTGGGCCAAGTGCTTCCTGGTGCCGCTGTGGGCGCCGATCTCGGAGGCGAGCATGATCTTCGTGAAGAGCGCGTTCGGGGTGAGCACTGCTGGCTGGTTGGGCTGCTCGGCCGACTCCATGACGAAGTACCTGGGCTGCTGGCTGGTGCCAGGCGCAGACCTCGCCAGACTGTGGCACGACTCTTTGTCCAAGCATGCGGCGAGGATGAGAGCGCTTGGAGCCAACGCCCTACACAATGACGCAGTGGCACGTGCGGACAAGGGGCTGGAGATCCCGTGCCTGCTAGACGTGGCCATGATGCCCCCGATCCCCGATCTGCGCGGAGGCAAGGTGCGGGACCTGCTGCGCGTGCTGCCGTGCGTGCCGACGAAGTCGGACAGGAAGGACTACCTTCTGTCGATGGGCCCCTCCTCGGGCGTCACGGCGCCGCTCTCCCTCTTCGACTCGGCGGCGACGGCGTGGATGAGGGCGGCGTGCAAGCTGCCGAGTGAGTGGCTCGCCTTCCTCGAGAGCGTTGAGAGCTTCGGCTACGACGTCTGGGGCGTGGCGCTGGGCAGGCTGGCGGACCTGCCGACGGACCTCTTCACCTCGTCGTGGTGGCAGGATCGTCGAGGGCCTGCTCGCCACCTCAGGG